GGCCGCCGGAGCTGCGCTTGGCCAGGGCCCAGCCGAAGGGGAGGCTGTGCTGGGGGAGCCCGGCCGGTTCCCCCTCGTACCAGTCCCGGTCCCGGTCCTGGTCCCGGTTCAGATCCCGGTCCTTGGCCAGCCCCAGCCGAAGGGGAGGCTGTGCTGGCGGAGCCCGGCCGGTTCCCCCTCGTACCAGTCCCTTGCTGCCCCATGGGAGCGAGCCTGGCCGCCCCCCAGGAAGACGAGCGGAGGGATGCGAAGGTGGCAGGCTCCCCTTCCCGAAGGAAGGGGGGCTATGAGGAGGCACCCAGGCCGTGTGAGATGTCGGGAGGATGGGTGAAAGGCGAAGAGCTAGCCACGGCAGAGGGGCCTGCGGGGATGCTCGGGTGCATCTGCTGCCCGGGGTGAACCGTGGTAGCAGAGCTGATGAGGTTTGCTCGGCTGCTGGGGTGGCCTCTTCCATCACGCAGCCAGCAGCGTGGTCCTGCAAACAGGGGAAGGGGAAGAGGGGGAAGGAGAGGCAGCAGGAGTAGCACTCGGAGGAATGGGTTGGTCCCGTCAGAGGGGTAAAGCTCCCCCTCCAGCTGTGTCACCTCAGTGAGGGCAAGCCTGGCTAGAAGGTCTTCACAAGGCAACAGACGTCTCATTTTCCTGTGACTGTCTTGCTGCTGAAGCGAAGGCACCAGCACCATCCTTGTCTCTGTTCCTTTTAGGAACAGGTGTCTCTATGCTCCTTTCCTCCATCAGAACGGGATGGGAGTCCGCGTTTCTGGACGGTTAGGGTGCAGCTGCGTTAGCACCTCAGTTTGGATCAGGCGATCATGAACAATTTAGGTGAAAGGACCTGCAAGATGTGCAGCAGATGTGCTCTGAGGACAATGAGAATTCAGCTTTGCTTTGGGCTAGGGTTAGTCTGAAGTAAGCCCCCAGACAGTTACAGCGTGGCCGCTAAGTCCTCGGCATCGGCTGTTTTCCTCTGCAGACCTGCTCCTGCTGCATCACCCTGTTTGCTAAAGCGGACCTGACCCTACAGAGCCAGGGTCTGCTCAGCTTTATCACCCCCTCTGCCAGGGCAGATTTCATACGTCATTCTAAATATTGGTTGAGGGGATCCCAAGTGCCTTGGGAATTTCATCTGAGGTTTGTATGGTCAGCAGGAGGAGTGATTCCTGAGTAAGAAAGCTGGAGGTGCTGCTGGTTCTCAGGCCCAGGGGCAGCAGTGAAGGCAGTTCCAGAGGTATAAAAGAGATCGTCTCTGAGACGAGACCTGTTTGCATTGCACTAGCCGTTCTTTTAGAGACAGTGAGTAGAATCAGGAACCACTAGAATAGATCCAGCTTTGCGTCAGGTAGGTGATAAGAGAGATTTCTGAGGAAGGTGGGTGGCAACGACGCTGCCGTGCTCTGGCTATTCTTTGGCATGTGGGAACTGCCGCGGTGGAACAGCCCCGAGGTTCATCTCGGTGGCCAGTCCAGCAACGGCAGGAGCCAGAGACGTGAGAAGGGACAGTTACGGCCCCCCCCCGCCCCAGTCATTTCTTTACAACTTCTATCATTTGTGGGAGGTTTACGCCTTGAAGTGAGAAGGTCTATATCCACAAATGTAAACATTTGTGCAGCTCCAATTGTGTCATTTGTATGAATTACTTAATGTGATAACTTCCACGTTACCATCCTCTTCTGATTCAGAAGTTGAGTCTCCTTAGCATGAGTTGTTAGCCTGCCTGCGTGGGTGAATAAATCCTCTTGTTATCTCAGGGAAACAGCAAACGAAGCTTCCGGCAATTTCCACGCTGCCTGCCTGCCTCAGCTCCGCTCAGGTAGGGATGTCCTGCAGCCCAGCATCTCTTCATGGCTTGGGCTACACCTGACAAAGATTGGTGAGCAGAGCTGCATGGGGACAGGTCCTCCTATCTCGAGGAGGCTTCTTGTGTTTGCAGATGTGGCTGGGTTCTTAGTTTGAGTGAAAGCACAAAATTGAAGATTTACTGCGAGGCGGAACGAGCTCTGGGGGAAGAAGAAGAGCTTTCACCCTAGGGCTGTCATGCTCCTAAGTAGATGCTCGTCCGTCCATCCATCTCATCTAAATGGATTTCAAAGACTCTCTTTATTTGCCTAGGATTTCCAGACACCTGGTTTCAGTGGTTTTGGTAGGAGGTGGGTCACAACTGTATATGTGCTGCACACTAACAATGCACATGCCAAGGAGTGCTAATGCTCGGATCTGGAGATCCTGAAGCCCCACAGTACAGGGTTCCCTGTGTATCTAAGAAGCCCAGGCTAGAAGTGAGACTCCCCCCCCAGACTCATCCCTTAGAAGGGCTCACAGAGCTGGGAGCAGTTTTTAATTCCTACAGAGCCAGGCTGGACTCTGACCAGTGATCTTGCCGTCTAAAGGCTCAGTGGCTCACTAAAATATCCTAGGGCATCCAGGTGCAAAGAAACACCACTGTTGCAATGTCAGGGTAAGAAATGTTTTCTGGAAAAGTTGGTTGCGTGAAGATCAGTTATTTCTGGAGAGCGGCTCTGCAGGTCCAGGGAAATGCTCTTCCCAGAGGTGCCCTGGATTCTTAAAGGAACAGAGCTCATTAACCAAGAAACAAACACCAGAATCCTAAAACGAAAAGCATTAACAGAATAGCCAAATTCACTTCACAGGGCTTTGATGGTTTGCAGCTTTTACTCAGGACTTTGCTAGTGACCATGAGGGGTTTCACACGTGTTTCTCGCAGATCATGGATGCAATTAAATCCATCCTCAGAGCCCCAACATGGCTTACACAGCCTCTTGTGAGGCTACGCTGGTGTGCTTGCAAGCAGGTTTCCTGGCATCTTTCCTGGCTCTCTGAGCAGGGTGTG